AATTACTGTGAAATTTTACACCTGTAAAATTGTTTTATACTGATACTTTGACAAGCATTTTTCCATTTAGCAATTATGTGATATAACATAACAGTTCAGTGTGGGTAATACAATGACATAATACATAAAGGAATGAATTTCAACCAATAAATACCTATAATCTGTATAAAAAGATTAGGAAATTTTGAAAATTCTGGGAAAAAATGATCTGGAATAGAATTTAAAATTTACAACTTTTGCTTACCATGCAGATATATTAATTTAACAGTTATGGTACCTTAACTTTTGTCCGTTTTTCATTTCCAGATATATATGTATTATTACAAAGTTGTATATGGTATAATATCAAATTTTTTATTACCACTTTCAGAATATACAATTTTTGATCACAACTGATCAAATATAGTTTGTTTGCCTATAAAATTTTTCTTGTATAAGTATTTTATAATTAAAAATAGATGAATTCTGATGACATCTGCTGTATCTTAATTAATCAGGATTAAATAACTTATCTAAAAGTGGTTTTGCTTATTTTGAGGCTGTTCTCTTTTCTTTGATGCCATTTTTACAATTTCACACATGCTTATTTAATCTATCTATATAAATATTATTATTATTACTACTAGAATTTGTAAAATGTTTATTGGGAACAATAATATTAAAACTACATTATATAAATCTAATTAAACATTACTGATTAAAATTATATTTAATTATGGATGTATCAAATATAGAAGATTAATTATTTGGCAGTATATTTATTAAATAATTAGTTAATATAAGTTATTTATTATTTAGCTTATCAGATGATGGTGGCAACCTATTTGTAGTACCAAATTATAAAATTAGAATACTTGTAGTATGCTCTAATAAATTTCTGAAATTATTATTTATTAAATTTGGCAGTTATAATTTTCTAAATCTAGTTAATACATTTATTTATTCATTTTGAATTTTAAAAAAAATTTTTAATAAAATAATTTTTTATTGCTATTCTATGATTTATCATTTTATACAGAGAAGTCTGTTTTTTATTTTCTTTAAATATTACTTTTGAAATATTGTTCAAGTTTCAGAAAATAACTTATAAACAACACTTCTTGCACGTGAAATATTTAAATTAGGCCTAATTCTAAACTTTTTGAAGATGAAATTATTTTATGGCTTTAAGAGTAGTCATAGCCACTTGAAATTGTTCTTGTTTTAAAATTTATAATTATAAAAAAATTAACTTTTAAGACAACAAATTTTAATATCTCATGCTAACATCAATAGCATTTCTATGTTATTGATGTTAACATAAGATATTGAAACCATCTTTTTGTTCTTTAGCAAAGGAAGATGCAATTATACACACATTTAGGTTAAACAATGACTTTGTGCCAGAGTAATTATGAACAGTAGACAAATGTATAGAATATGTTTTGTTTTTAAATAAATATTGTTAGGTAGAATTTGTCAATTCTTTTTGACATTGACTTGTTACTTGAAATAGATTGATTTTATTGTTTTATTACCCTGTTTATTGTGCATTTGTAGCTTTCTGAAAATAAATCAGTTTTTCTCTCTGACAATATAGTAAATTTAAAACTACCAAGAATAAAGTGAAAATTATAGTTTTAGGGGGTAGTAACATTAATACACCAATATTCGAAATACCAACCTTACGATTACAAAACAGTGTGCCCCACTGAACCACCAACCACTCTAAAAATAATGGAAATTTTAAAGGTTTTAAATGATTTACAATTTTTCATCTCATTATTGACAAGACTGTCTTGTTTATAAAATTGTGAATTGTGGTGCTGTCAATGGGTTATCACCTTAGAGATATGAAGGAGTACATGTCAGGAGTTGCAATTTGGCACAGAGTATTAGGTGACCAAATCATGTGCACATTAAAAAAACCAGACTTGTAGGTACTCAGGTGATTGGGGATCAAGCCAAAATAAAATACAAAATGCGACACTCTTTCTACAGACAGGCACTAGTGTGAGATTTGCACATGTGTTGCTTGTTGGGAAGTTGGAAATGTTAACATTGTGAAATTGAATTTTGACAAATGAATGTTTGAAAAAACCTATTTACCTGTCCCGTGTTATTCCTGATGTATTTCTGGCCGCGACCTGCTGACCTTGACCAGTTGATCCAAGATATCTTGTTTCAGCATCAGAACATTTTTGAAACTAGATGGCACTAGGAATTATAATTTCATATTAAAACTAACTTTCGAAATATAATTTTTTTTTTACATTTATTAATATATANTTAAACTGTACATTGTTTTTGCAAAATTAAAAAATAATTTCAGATGATACAATAGCCACAATTAGTTTTTTTAAAATCGGTAAATTTTCATTAGGCATTGACAAAAATTCAGCCCAGGGTGACACGCAACAGAGAGAAATTTCAACATTGGATAGGTTAATTTCACTGAAAATGCATAGTGGACAATGCTGTGGCCGTGGTCAGTGAAGTTTGAACGATTGCACTCAAAACCAGCAATACCAAAGAAGATTGGAGAATGAGAACAAGACCCGCTGTGAGCATCAAAGTGATCCCACTTACCATAGCCAAGAACAAGTGCCCGTGACAAGGCAACCTGTCATAACCACGGCAGCAATGAAGCCTGCTGTAATCTATGCCAGGACTCCAAGTAGTGGTGTCAACTTTTCTTTATTGGAGAGTGCTCATTTTTTTCTTTTCTTTAGAAAATGGTGTGCAGTCAAGCCCTGAGTCTCCTAGACATAGTCTTGTCCCAAAGATGGCTTTGGCATTTTACTTATCTTGTTTAATTTTGAGTATTGCACCTTACTTCTTGGTACATGTCAGTTGTGGGGATGCTCTATAACCTCAGCAAGTTTGATTAAAGTTGGTGACCTGAATGTTATGCTGTCCCCTCATGCAAGAATTAGTGTTAGCTTAATCACTAAGTGTGAGATAAGCCAGGGGCACAGGGGCTGTTTCCCAAATGCCACTTAATCGGCACAGGTTGATAAAGCCCAACCTTGGTGTCGTCAGATGGCTAAAACTTGATAGGAGGGCAAAATTGAGTGGGGAGTGTGTGAGCAAGTCGAGAGGTGTTCGTTTTTTGAAGTGACGGGAGACAGGGTTAACATATAACAAAATAAAAGTTTATTAACTATAACCTTGTGATATACAGATTGCTATGTGGTTAAATGCTATTATTCTATTGACTACTTTCACAAGGACGGTGACTAATTTCTAAGCTCTGTCATGTGCCTAATTTCTACTTCGAAAGCAAGTTGACAAAGTTCTAACCCTAACATACATAATATGTAGGTGACGATCGTTGCTTCTTGGAAGAGTCAGAGCCACTGAAGTGTCTTCCAACCTGTGTCTTCTCATTGGGCTGGATCAAGTTTGTTGAATGGAGGTCAGGGAGACGAAATGGGCACTATCACCAATTATAACTTCCAGTTTGATCACACTTTGAGCTTCCGGTAGCTCTCGCTTTTATCCTATTGTCGTGGGAAAGTGATCACGTGATTGTCAAATCAAATGTTGATGATGATGAAACATTTTTGACAGCTAAGTGTCAACTTTCCCATCTGATTGTTATTACAAACGGTGACCTCTGATCTGATTCTTGCAAGGAGCATTTTTTTTCTATTGGGGGATGTTTACAATTCGAAAAACAATTCACATCAAGTTTACAATCCCCTTTAAATCTGCGACTTCACATTAACAAGGGGACCTTACGGTCTCGGAAATTCAGTTCAGGATGAGACTTCACAGATTAGTAGTATACCTCAAGGATGTCCATCCAGAAGAATTGTAAAGTGCACTAACCAGAAGATTCCGAGAAAAAGAACTCTTAAAGTTTTAATCACAGCTCATATACTGGTCGATTTTACACTATGGCAGTGCAGCAAAATGGCTGATTCTGTAGCAAACTCACTTGCAACACAGGCGATCTATGTTTGATCTTAGCCTTCTCTAACTTTTTTTTTAAATTGTTTTAAAAATTATAACAACTTTTAAATAAAGTTAATGACCTAAAAATATTATCAATTAAATCATAAATAATTTTATTTTATTTATGAAATGACTGTTACAGCTAATTAAAATGTGAATTAAAGATAATACTTTATTTTTAAAAAGTTGAATAATTTCAAATGCATTTTTAATGGAGGTAAATTAAAACTTTAATTACTATTGTCATTAAAAAGTTATTACAAATTTTAAGATATTATAAGCTGTGGAGAGGTTAAAAATATTTGTTGTAAATTTGAGGAACCGGTTTCTACGTGGAAGAGTAGAGTATAGCTGTTGCCCTATTGTACATAGGCAGATGGTCATTTCATAAATAAAATAAAATTATTTATGATTTAATTGATAATATTTTTAGGTCATTAACTTTATTTAAAAGTTGTTATAATTTTTAAAACAATTAAAAAAAAGTTAGAGACGGCTAGGATCAAACCTAGATCGCCTGTGTTGCAAGCGAGTTTGCTACAGAATCAGCCATTTTGCTGCACTGCCATAGTGTAAAATCGACCAGTATATGAGCTGCACTTAAAACTTTAGAGCCCTTTTTCTCGGAATCTTCTGGCTAGTGCACTTTACAATTCTTCTGGGTGGTCACCCTTGAGGTATACTACTAACCTGCAAACTGAATTTCCAAGACCGTAAGGTCCCCTTGTAAGTATTAAGATTAGATTCTAAGAAGCAGACTCAAATATAGAAATTATAGTTTTTATTTCATCAGAAACATTTCCAAACTATTCTAATTCATCATCGTCTTGTTTTATAACATATTTCCTACTTATATAAACATCCTGGAGCCCAATATTTTAGTAATACGTCAAATGATTGCCAGATTTAATTTAATATAATTAATTAAATTATAATTATTAAATTTAATAAGAGATGTCACTTAACACCTATCTCTTGTACCAAATTATTTAATATTTAATTTAAAATAATTTTTTCTACTTTAAGCAGTACTAATATTAATGAATTTTAATGTCTTGCAGGCATTTAGTATACATTGTACATATACATATGAATCTGGATTTGACAAACACTTTTAGTAAGTATAAGTTTTTTAATTTTTTAGAAAAACTTTTTAAATGATATGCTTTCAATTATCTTTGCATATATAGATTATGTAATGATTAAGTTTTGGGAAAAATTTAAACAGATGACCATAAATGTCTAGATTTTTCTAAGTTATTTCATACTACAGTTCAGTGTGGTTGAGTTGGTAAACAAAAAGTCTGATTTCAGTAAAATTGCAATGTGCAACTCCAATTCCAACCTTACCCTGTTTTAAAATGTCACAAATTCCTGATTCCTTTTTATAAGAAAGATACCACTGGGTATCCAAATATTTTCATCTAAAATTTCTATATGAAAAGTCCTACTAAAATTGATGGTGAGAATCAAAAGCAGAATTTAGCTCATTGTTAGAACTAAATTTTTCCTTCCAATAAATGATTTTAGTTTAAGAAAGATGTCTGACTGTGTCAAATTTAGTGAGTAAGAGGATTGGCAACATTTCAAACCATATTTCTTCTAATTTTCAGTAATCTGTTAATGAGATACCTTTTTTATCCCAAAAAGATGATACCATAACCTTTTCTGCTAATAGTACTGTTTGTTTTTTTTTTTGTGTGTGAATTTGCTATGTTTTGTTCAAAATTTTGACTGTTTGGATTTTGATATATTACAGTCGACCCCCCTATAAGATAGAGATACGTTCCATTCTTTAGGAATTCTATTTCTTACGAATCCTTCCAATCACAACCCAACACGTATCAAGTTTACAGACTACAACTGTTTGAAAGAATTTCTTCCATAAAATTAATCNGGCTTTAAGAGTAGTCATAGCCACTTGAAATTGTTATTGTTTTAAAATTTATAATTATAAAAAAATTAACTTTTAAGACAACAAATTTTAATATCTCATGCTAACATCAATAGCATTTCTATGTTATTGATGTTAACATAAGATATTGAAACCATCTTTTTGTTCTTTAGCAAAGGAAGATGCAATTATACACACATTTAGGTTAAACAATGACTTTGTGCCAGAGTAATTATGAACAGTAGACAAATGTATAGAATATGTTTTGTTTTTAAATAAATATTGTTAGGTAGAATTTGTCAATTCTTTTTGACATTGACTTGTTACTTGAAATAGATTGATTTTATTGTTTTATTACCCTGTTTATTGTGCATTTGTAGCTTTCTGAAAATAAATCAGTTTTTCTCTCTGACAATATAGTAAATTTAAAACTACCAAGAATAAAGTGAAAATTATAGTTTTAGGGGGTAGTAACATTAATACACCAATATTCGAAATACCAACCTTACGATTACAAAACAGTGTGCCCCACTGAACCACCAACCACTCTAAAAATAATGGAAATTTTAAAGGTTTTAAATGATTTACAATTTTTCACCTCATTATTGACAAGACTGTCTTGTTTATAAAATTGTGAATTGTGGTGCTGTCAATGGGTTATCACCTTAGAGATATGAAGGAGTACATGTCAGGAGTTGCAATTTGGCACAGAGTATTAGGTGACCAAATCATGTGCACATTAAAAAAACCAGACTTGTAGGTACTCAGGTGATTGGGGATCAAGCCAAAATAAAATACAAAATGCGACACTCTTTCTACAGACAGGCACTAGTGTGAGATTTGCACATGTGTTGCTTGTTGGGAAGTTGGAAATGTTAACATTGTGAAATTGAATTTTGACAAATGAATGTTTGAAAAAACCTATTTACCTGTCCCGTGTTATTCCTGATGTATTTCTGGCCGCGACCTGCTGACCTTGACCAGTTGATCCAAGATATCTTGTTTCAGCATCAGAACATTTTTGAAACTAGATGGCACTAGGAATTATAATTTCATATTAAAACTAACTTTCGAAATATAATTTTTTTTTTACATTTATTAATATATACTTATTTTGTTTTTGCAAAATTAAAAAATAATTTCAGATGATACAATAGCCACAATTAGTTTTTTTAAAATCGGTAAATTTTCATTAGGCATTGACAAAAATTCAGCCCAGGGTGACACGCAACAGAGAGAAATTTCAACATTGGATAGGTTAATTTCACTGAAAATGCATAGTGGACAATGCTGTGGCCGTGGTCAGTGAAGTTTGAACGATTGCACTCAAAACCAGCAATACCAAAGAAGATTGGAGAATGAGAACAAGACCCGCTGTGAGCATCAAAGTGATCCCACTTACCATAGCCAAGAACAAGTGCCCGTGACAAGGCAACCTGTCATAACCACGGCAGCAATGAAGCCTGCTGTAATCTATGCCAGGACTCCAAGTAGTGGTGTCAACTTTTCTTTATTGGAGAGTGCTCATTTTTTTCTTTTCTTTAGAAAATGGTGTGCAGTCAAGCCCTGAGTCTCCTAGACATAGTCTTGTCCCAAAGATGGCTTTGGCATTTTACTTATCTTGTTTAATTTTGAGTATTGCACCTTACTTCTTGGTACATGTCAGTTGTGGGGATGCTCTATAACCTCAGCAAGTTTGATTAAAGTTGGTGACCTGAATGTTATGCTGTCCCCTCATGCAAGAATTAGTGTTAGCTTAATCACTAAGTGTGAGATAAGCCAGGGGCACAGGGGCTGTTTCCCAAATGCCACTTAATCGGCACAGGTTGATAAAGCCCAACCTTGGTGTCGTCAGATGGCTAAAACTTGATAGGAGGGCAAAATTGAGTGGGGAGTGTGTGAGCAAGTCGAGAGGTGTTCGTTTTTTGAAGTGACGGGAGACAGGGTTAACATATAACAAAATAAAAGTTTATTAACTATAACCTTGTGATATACAGATTGCTATGTGGTTAAATGCTATTATTCTATTGACTACTTTCACAAGGACGGTGACTAATTTCTAAGCTCTGTCATGTGCCTAATTTCTACTTCGAAAGCAAGTTGACAAAGTTCTAACCCTAACATACATAATATGTAGGTGACGATCGTTGCTTCTTGGAAGAGTCAGAGCCACTGAAGTGTCTTCTAACCTGTGTCTTCTCATTGGGCTGGATCAAGTTTGTTGAATGGAGGTCAGGGAGACGAAATGGGCACTATCACCAATTATAACTTCCAGTTTGATCACACTTTGAGCTTCCGGTAGCTCTCGCTTTTATCCTATTGTCGTGGGAAAGTGATCACGTGATTGTCAAATCAAATGTTGATGATGATGAAACATTTTTGACAGCTAAGTGTCAACTTTCCCATCTGATTGTTATTACAAACGGTGACCTCTGATCTGATTCTTGCAAGGAGCATTTTTTTTCTATTGGGGGATGTTTACAATTCGAAAAACAATTCACATCAAGTTTACAATCCCCTTTAAATCTGCGACTTCACATTAACAAGGGGACCTTACGGTCTCGGAAATTCAGTTCAGGATGAGACTTCACAGATTAGTAGTATACCTCAAGGATGTCCATCCAGAAGAATTGTAAAGTGCACTAGCCAGAAGATTCCGAGAAAAAGAACTCTTAAAGTTTTAATCACAGCTCATATACTGGTCGATTTTACACTATGGCAGTGCAGCAAAATGGCTGATTCTGTAGCAAACTCACTTGCAACACAGGCGATCTATGTTTGATCTTAGCCTTCTCTAACTTTTTTTTTAAATTGTTTTAAAAATTATAACAACTTTTAAATAAAGTTAATGACCTAAAAATATTATCAATTAAATCATAAATAATAATCAACAGCTAGGCTCTACTCNATTCTTTATTATTATTCATCACTAAAAAAAGCCATTGGATGATCAAAAAATTGCAATACATATTTCAAAAATAATTATACATAATATTGGGTTGAACTAAAATTTTGTTTGGTTTTTAGAAAGAAATAAAATATACTATTTTGAAATAAATAAAAACCTTTAATCCACAATGTATTCACCCTTCTGTTTGATAACCTTACGCCACCTGACGGGTAGTTTCATAATTCCATCTGTGTAGAATTGGGTGGGTTTCTGATTGAAGAAATTATTGATGTGAGTTTTGATACCTTCTAAAGTAGGGGTCCCCAAACTTTTTATCCCATTGACCCCTTTATAGAATATTTGCCTTCTTATCGACCCCCAGATTATGTATTTAACAAAAACATTAAATCATTTTTGCATTTCTGATGTTAAGCGATAAGGAGATCTGCATAACAACCCAACAAAAGAATTTATAGTTCCCATTTATATGTATAATCAAGATGAGTTGATAATGATGATAATAATAAGCGCAGAGCCCAAATGGTTAGGAGTTGAAAGTTGAAATTTGGCACACAGTTAGGGTACGTCATGAAAACACACACTAAGAAGGGATTTTTCGAAATTCCCTCGGGGGAGAGAGACAGGATTAAGGTTTTGACGATGGAAGTGTTAAGTAACAATGGAATTGTTAAGAGAAAGCGACGTGCAAGACGCAGATGCAGTTTTTTTTGTTTTGCGGGAAATCGAACATATTTTTAGACCCATCTAAAAATTCTGTAATTAGTCCGGAAACAGGGGGACCCAATTCTTGCATTCTGTGAAAACGGGTAAGGTTGACTATATTGTGATAATTTTAATCTTCGCTATTGTTACTTTTTCCCGAGCATATAAAACGGAATAATCAACAGTGTTATAGGGGGGTCGACTGTACACAATTATCTTTGAAAACATAACAAGTTATATTGGATGAAAAAACTTTTACTGTCATATTGCGACTACTACTGAATGCCTTAAAAATATGTTAACATACCTTTTTATTAAAATAGTTGATATTAGTGGGATGGATGTGTCTGAAGAGAAGCAGCAAGATTATTGATATTCGGTTGAAAATTGGTAAGTTTTCAACCTAAGCAAATCACCACGGTTTTCCAAGTTCAATCTGTTCCTCTGTTTTGTCAAAATTGCATTCGCATGACTAAAACCAGCTTCAGCCATGTATGAAGTTGGTAATGCAAGTAAGAAAGGTTCGGCTTCTGCTCTGAGCTTAAGATATTTAGTGGTAATATTGTTATTGCTCCAAAATTCACCAAGATTTTTATTTTTAAACAATGTTTTAGCTTCGAGATCTACACATATTTCACTCAGTTCATCTTCTAAGCCAGGTTCACTACCTTTATTATCTATTTTTACATCAAATGGATTAGCAAACCATTTGGGGACATGCATATTCTCCAAGTCTTCGAAACATGGTTTAAAGTCTTCTCTTAATTTATCAAGATGTTTAATATATATCTCCAAATTGTGGTCAGAAATCTTTTCATTTTCTTTTAGTACTCGCAAGTTTGAAAAATATTTAAAATCGGATCGTGTCAGTGAAGATTTAAAAAGCTCCATTTTTACTTAAAAGGCCACTGTGATTATTAGAGCTTGAACAATTGTAACGTTCTTCCTCACAAATGCTTCTGTACTATATTAATGATTTTCGATATATTACGATATTTTCTCTGTAAAAGGACAAAATATCTACATTTAGATATAGCGTGACAACCCTACTAGAGTGTAACAGTGCAACGTAAGTCTGTGTATAATGAACTACAAGCGTTCGTAATATGTTTGTAACACTAGTACAGTTGCCAGATGCATGAAAACAGAGTAACACATGCTTAAAGCAGTGTAGGCTAAGGCAAAACTCAGGTTATAACTAGGGTAGTCAGTAATGTTGTTGATTATATCCGTATTTCGAATTTTTATTGGAATATTTTAGTTTTTTCCTAGATGGTTTAATTGATCCTCTTTGGTATTAATCAACCCCCTTTCGACCCTTGTGTATTAATCGACCTCTGGAGAACTCTTATTGACCCCTTGGGGTCGATATTGACCACTTTGGGGACCCCTATTCTAAAGATTGAAATTCTGTGCCATTTAAATTATTCTGCAATGAACAAAAAAGATGATAGTCTGAGGGTGCAATATCTGGAGAATATGCAAGGTGACTCAAAACATCCCAGTTAAAGTCTAGTTTTTTGTGCACATTTAATGATATGTGCAGTCTTGCATTATCATGATGGAATACCACTGCCTGTTGATTTGCAAGTTCCGGACATTTTTGATGCACTTCAACCTTTAGTTCATCCAATTGGAGACAATATTTATTGGAATTAATTGTTTGGTTGTTGGGTAAAAGCTCATAATAAAGAACCCTTTTCTAATTGCACCAAACTGAAATCATTACTTTTCTGGGATGCAAACCAGTTTTAGGTTGTGGCACTAGAGGCTTACTCCAAGATCTCTTGCATTGAATATTGGTGTAAATGATCTGTTTTTCATTGCCTGTTATTAATCGCTTTAAAAAGGGATTGTCTTCATTGTGTTTTAAAAGTGCATCACAAACAGAAACATGCTCAATAAGGTTTTGTTCACTTAATTGATGGGGAACCCAAACATCATAGTGGGAATTGTATCCAAGGCTAGCCAAATGTCTGACAACAGATGTTTGGGATATTTTTAAGATGTTGTTTTATGTTGATCATTTTGAATTAAAGCCGTTATGGACTCATCTTCTATGGTTGAAGGCTGTCCTGACTGAGGTGCATCTTCAAGAGAAAAATCTCCCTCCCTGAATTTTGAAAAGTATTTCTGGCATGTTCGATCAGTAACTGCATGATGAACATATAGTATAAAACTCAAAAAAATGTGCTGTACAGGTAACCCCCATATAACACGGCACTTCTATAGCACGGGTTCACTCTAACACGGTTCGAGAATTGGTACCACCCCCGTATAACACGGTACTGTTATAGCACGGTTTCACTCTGACATGGTTCGAGAATTGGGTAAAACCCTCCTACAACATGAAATGTAATAAATTTTTACATACTTAAGTAATAATAGTTCACGAAAATAATTTTCGTGAACTATTAGTACTTAAGTATGTAAATTTTCTTTTCTCGCCTTCTGTCCATACACATGGTCCTTCTAGAAACTTGTTTCAATGTTGCCAGATCTCGACGCTTCTGCTTCTGATGTTGCCAGATGTTTTTCCCTTATTTTATACTTGCTTTATTCTTCATAAGTTCTTAGCACCATATGAGGAAATTTATAAAGATCTTTTAACTAGAAGCAAGCAATCTAAAATTTCATACATTTAACAAAAGGTAAAGCATGGATCTGAAGATAATGCAGAAAAATACTCAGAGGATAAGGATAACTTTCTGTTTTTTTTGGGCAAGTTATCCTCGGTTAATAGTGCTTTTAGTGATAACGAAGAAAACATTATTTAATTTATATTAATATGTATCACTTAAATATCTTTATTAAAATTTTCTTATCTTAATTATGAAAATATAATAGCATGTTTTTTAATTTTTGGAACCTAAACCTCCTTTTCGTACTAGTTCTTTGTTTCGCATAACACAGATTCGCATAACATGGCAATTTTTTGGAACGTAACTACTGTGTTATACAGGGGTTACCTGTATATGGAGAGGATGCAGTTACTGCATCCTCCCCATATACAGCACGTATTTTTTTTAACTTTTTGTCGCATTTTTCCTTTTTGGAAATAATAGAGCATGAGATGTTGAAAATGCACCTTCTTATCTTCCATTTTAACGTTTTTTTTTTTCTTAAAAGATAACAAAATTTAAAAAAATAGCTGTAATTAAACTTGCATAATAAATATGCAAATATTCATAATGTTAACTTAAACAAGTTAAAACTTGATAAGCACGACAGAGGCACCACAGATAAGCAATTATGTAAATACATGAACAAACTTTCGGTTCAACCCAATACAATAATCAACACTACATGATTAATAACTGATAGAGCTCCTTAACTACTTATCCTGTTGTCTTCACTTCCTTTCATGGTACTCATTTAAGTTGGATGTCTGACTAATGAAAAAGTTAGGAATCCAGCATTGTCAGACAGATGATAAAGAAAAGTGCATACTGAACAATACACTCCTGCATGTAAATGATTTATAAACTTGTTCTCATGTCTACTGACCTTCTAATAAAGCCAATGCTATTCTTTGTCTAAGTTCAATAACTACAACTTAGTTTGATCATATATTAATAGTAATTAACATTGTGATCTGTTTCCTTCTCTTCTATAAACATCCAAACTCAATAGTCATATATTAAAGCCAAACGATTGCCGAATTATATTGAGCTTATATTACTACTACTATTATTAATTAAATGCTAAGCAATTTGACACTAAAGACAGGCATTAGGTATCATCTCTTGCTAAATTTAATAATTATAATTAAATTAATATTTTAATAATTAATTTAGAAGGTTCTGGAATAAAAGAATTGGCCTAAAGTGGGATTCAAACCTGCAACTCTTACTCACAATGCAGTCACGTTGCCAGTTACACTACCCAGACCTCCATTCAATCCTCACTTCCAGAACTTATTAATTTAGATATAATCATACTTGGTTACTTATGGCATTTGCTAGAAATAACTTAGTGCCTGTGGTCTATAACTCCCACTATGGTACTCAACCATAATTGCTAAATTTAAGTATAATTATTAAATTTAGCAACAGATGGTTACCTAACATCGACCTCTAGTATCAAATTACTTTGCATTTAATTAATAATAGTAGTAGTAATATTGTCCAATATAAATTGGAAATTGTTTGGCTTTACTATATACCTATTGAGTTTGGATGTTTATATTTGTATATACAATATTACCATTTTATTTAATTCTATCCAGAAGTTATTCTTTTCTTCTTTCCTGCATCTTGTTTGAAGACCTACAAATATAATTATTGTGACTAAATTTCTCCCTATCTTTAGCTTAACACTAATAATCCTGTCATTTCTTCAGATTACCTCATAAACACCATGTCTTAATTCTTTGTTGACTATAATGCCTATCCATTTTTCCCTTTATTCATCTACTCCACCAAAGAACAGCTTGTAACCATTTCCACTCGCCAGTGGCTGAGTGGATAAACCATTGAATACTGGTGATTGTGGGTTCACACCTTGCCAATGGAGTTTTCCAAGTTTTATTCACATTAGTAACACCAAAATAGGTGCCAGTTGCCCATAGAAAGTCTTCCTAAGATGCATCTCTCTCAGCAAATTGCCACAAGTTGTGTTGCAGTATACAAATAAACCAAACTGTAGCCATTCTCAGCTCTTTTACTTCCTTTTCATTTGGTTTCCTGCAGGCATAAGATCCTCATTCTTTTTTGCTGCATCAAGTCCTCTAATTATATGCTCTTTTCAGTCATTGTCCCAATGTTTAACATTTCCATTCTTACATTAAATATGCTCTTCTTTTCCTTTTGTTGGACTAACTTCTTTAGCAGAACCTGCTCTTGGTTTCATGCCCAAGCTCATTTTTTGCAGTTTTCAGGTGACGTGACTGTATGTTGGTTGCAGGGTATGCCCTAGCTCTTGTACATCCTCTCTTCAAAAACTAAATGGAAAAAAAAACTGTTTTTTTGGCATATTTTTAAAAATTTATTTTTGTTGTATTCTTTCTAAGATAATGTTACTTTCAAAATTTATATATGTTTGGAATGTTTTATTTCAATAAGAATAAAAAAAATTAGATATTAATCATAATTTTAAATTTACAGTTGTAAGGCATATGAATATTGCTGTGGTCAGTTTTGCTGTAGATCACGTGAAATTAGTTTCTACCAGTTATGGTACTTCTGGTAAGTTACCTTTAATAAATTCTTTTTATTTGTGAAATAATTGAGTTAACTGAGAATTTAAGAAATAAAAGAAATTTTAACAAGATGAAACCTTTCAGGCTTGATTTTAAGATTTTTGTTGTTAAAGTACTTGATCATTGTTAAAATGTATATTTTATTGTTTTCCTTTAAAGTTGCATTTTCTTAAAAATTCAAAAAACAAACAGCTTAAAAAGAAATGGTGAAATATAATTTTTGAAAGAAAGACTTGATTCTTAAAGGAGAAATTTTTGAAAAAAATTGTAGATGTTTTTTCTGAATATTTCTTATAATTTTGAAAATTCTGATTATGATAGCTTAATCACTCAAAGTTTAAATAAATAACTTTTAAAATCAAGCCTGGGGTGTTTCATTGTGTTAAAAAGAAAGGAGTAAAAAAACACAGAAATAAAGTAAATTTAAATGTAATTCCTTTTGTATTAATATTTATTAAATAATTTAGAAAATTCTGGAAGAAAATCTGCATAGAGTGGAGACTGAAACCTGCAACTGCCTCTTACTGTACAGATGCATTGCCAGTTATGCTGCCAGTCCTTTATTTGATCCCTCATATTCATATATAATTATTTTTGATATAACCATACTAGTTGTTCATGGTGCTGACATGAGTGCAGAGCCATGAGTAACTAGTATGGTTACTCATGGCTCTGCACCCATGACCTATAATTACCCACTACATTATGTCACTCAGCCAACTATCATTTTATCTTAGCATGGTGTATATACAGGGTGCATAGGAAAGTCCCTTTAACTGGAAAATTCTTGCGAACAGAGAGAGCTACAGCTATGCAAGTGAGGTAACAGTACAGTAAAGTGACTACACCCGACCTAATGCAAACGACAGCAGCGCACCTAGTGGCGAAATTTGGAAGATAGGCAGTGCAAATTGAAAACAAAAATAGATAGAGCCAACTTTCCAATTAGAAAGTTTTAGAGCATCAATTACTTAGTATGAAATGACGTGTGGTTCACACGGATAAGCTAAATTGTCCCCTGTATATCCAAAAATGTCTGAAAGCAATGCATGCCATTTTGTATAAACGTTTGAAAGGAATAGCCATAGGTATGAAGAAATACACACAATTTATTGCATAAAATACGTACTTACGTCAATACAGTTTGATAACAATGGAGTGTATCGTGAGCAATGGCGAACTTTTCAAACATACTCAACATTAACTTGTTATCACTGTGTGACAGTTTGCCTTTCCGTTGTTTTTTGTGTGATGTTATCAAACTGTATTGAAGTAAGTACGTATTTTATGCAATAAATTGTGCGTATTTCTTCATACCTATGGCTATTCCTTTCAAATGTTTACACAAAATGACGTACATCACTTTTGGACATTTTTGGATATACAGGGGACAATTTATCTTATTTGTGTGAACCACACGTCGTTTCATACTAAGTAATTGATGCTCTAAAACTTTCTAATTGGAAAGTTGGCTCTATCTATTTTTGTTTTCAATTTGCACTGCCTATCTTCCAAATTTCGCCACTAGGTGCGCTGCTGTCGTTTGCATTAGGTCGGGTGTAGTCACTTTACTGTACCATTACCTCACTTGCATAGCTGTAGCTCTCTCCATTCGCAAGAATTTTCCAGTTAAAGGGACTTTCCTATGCACCCTGTATACATTTATAAATTTCTTAAAGCCCAATGATTATTATCAATATGTTACTGCCAAACGATTACTGGATGAAATTGGTGATTTTTTAAATTATTTAATATATATTAATTTAATTATAATTATTAAATTTAATAAGAGATGGTGCTAACTTCTACTTTTAGTGCTAAATTACATGGTATTTAATAATTATTAGTAGTGGAAATGTAGCCTGATTTAATCCAGTAATTGTGTGGCTGTAATATAATAATCATTAGGCTTAAAAATGTTTATATATATATATATAAATTAATGTTTGTTATCTTAAGTAACATTTCTTTTTAACATTGTTTAGAATAGCCAATCCTTCAAACCTTGTCATTTACAAGCAAAATAAATATTTTATTGTGTTTTTTACTACCTTTATAGTGGACTCTATCAAAAATTTGTATTTATGTTTCAAATAAAGCTAATTACATACATAAATAAAATAATAATAATGTAATGATTTCATATTTTTATCAATTTTCTTTTAATATAATAATAATAATAAATGGATAAAAATGCAGTTGGTGGAGGGAGATATTGCCTTAGCCATCATAGTAATCCACTTCTCCTTGCTTGTTTATCTCATCTTCCTTTTTAATCAACATTGTCATTCTGTTTTAATCAGTCCATTCTGAAGATTGCCTATTAACCAAGTCAAAAACGTTAATATTTCTTCAACTTTATTGATTGTTAAAGATGCATTGATTGAGCAAATTAATTACAGTGTCTTATGAATTGTGTCTTAAATTTATTGATGCTTTTTTATATATTTTGAAAATTTAAATTTGAAGAAGAATTAAAAATTCATAATATTTGAATTTTAAACTAGTGCATATCAAAATCAATATGTGATTTAACTAAATTTTGATGCGACTGATGATATTTTTTAGCCAACTTAGCCAAGACCATTGACACAAGTTGGCATGCACAAACTAAACAGGTCTATTTGTAAAATGAGGTGATATTTTTTCTGATATAGAAAGAATAGTGACTGCTGATTTATAATAAAATAAATAAAATATTTTTTGTTAGATATTCAGTTGTTCATTAGTAGCCATCAGTTTTAAATGAAATTAGGAACATAAAACATATGATGAAAATATCCAGTTATTATTATTAAGTTAAATGTTAAAATATCAAGTGGCAGATAATTTTAGGTTAATGCTATAATTTGTTTTATAGGTTAATGATAATACTGATGTTGCTGATGTGTTCTGGTGGTGGCTGGTGGTATCGTTTCAGATATCGAAATCATTTTCACAATCAGCAAAGTCATTTTGGTTTTGCTGGATCTGCAACACCTACTTTGGTCAGACCACATGTATATGGTGCTAGTGAGTCATTTTTCTTATTTTGTCTTTTTTAATATTTTAAGGTATATTGAAATATGAAAGTTCTATTTATAATTATTTTATTTTTAGTGACATGCTGCAATATAAGAATCATAAAGAATACTATATTATTTGTTTGTTTATTTTAATTTGGTTAACAAAAATTTTTGGAACAGTATTCTATTGATAGTTATAAGTTGTTTTGTGTAATTACATTTGGATGGTAAATATTCTGAAGTATATAATTACATATACTTCAGATTGCACAAAAAACATCGTTGAGTACTTTTCTAGCTATGTTTTTCTTTTCAACAAGCAATTTCAGTTTTTTTGATAAGCATGTCTCAGGTTTGTCCAAGATTCCAAATTTCAGTGTTTTAAATTGGAATGTTAACTTGACAATAACAGCTTCTAACATTTTGTAACTTTAAATATTGAAAATGATGTGTAATGTCCAGATTGTCTGCAACCATGCATTTTCTAACTTCTGGAATATGAGATGGTTCATGTGGCTCCATGTTTGTAACAGTATTATTCATATACCATTATACATTGTGGATCCCTAGTTGGAAGATCTTATTTGGATTATCTTAAATCAATCTTCAGGCAGTAGATAAGGTTTCACACTTATTTAGTTTATGCACACCCCTTTTAAACTGCATAACAAGTCAATAATTGCTTTGACTATCTGTGCTACAGAGCCCAGAGTGGTGGCAAATCTGAACAATGCCAAATTGATAAAACAAGTCCTTAATGAACAATATCTAAAAAATTAGACATCCTAGAAATTTATAAAGACTCTTCAGAGAAGTGTGCATAAACCAGAAAAAGTGTGAAATCTTATCTGCTGTCTGGAGATTTATTTACGATAACCCAAATAAGAACTCTCAACTAGGGGCCCACAACATATAATGGCATATGAATAATACTGTTACAAACATGGAGACACAACATGAACCATCTCATATTCCAGAAGTTAGAAAATACACAGTTGCAGACAATCTGGCCATTACATCATTTTAATTTAAAATTTAAAAATTTTTGAAGCCATTATTATCAAGTTCATATTCCAATTTAGAACATTAAAATTTGAAATCTTGGACAAACCTGAGGCATGCTTATCAAAGGAGCTGAAAATGTTGAAAAGAAAAACAGGACTAGAAAAGTACTTAAAGGAATGCTTTTCATGTGACATAAACTCTCTTCCAGCTTTGATTCTATTAAACATGTATAGTCAAAAGACCAAAATAAATATTCTGATAGATGTAACATATTACTAATTCATTAAAAATTTCCAGCAAACCCATCAGAATCTCACAAGAGCTTTGTTTAATTTCAATTTACACAAGAGTCTTGATTAGAGACAGTAAAAATCATAGTGGATTTGATGCTAAATTCAGGGTTCCTACACACCTGGAAAATTGGGAAACGTCAGGAATTTTCATTAGTGTTCGGAAAAAGTTATGGAAAGTCAGTGAATTTGTCTCCTTAGCTGCCTTGTTGATTTCGTTTGCTGAATATGGCTGACCAAGCGTAGCCATCTGCAGGAAGCATGAAGTAATTTTGCAATCTTTATTAAGAAAATATACTAGAATCTGTTTTGAAATGACTTTTTTCACCTTTCTGAAGCCATATAATTTTACAGTTGTAGATTAATAACAGGATAAACTACTTTTATGTAATAGTTTTTAATTTTAATAATTCAGCAATTATAAAAAGATGAAATTAGTTATTTTTTATTCTAATTAATAATTAAAAATTTGTTTGCAAACTTTTAAAAGTTGAAATCATAATTTATTAGAATGTTCACTTCAAAATAGTTAAATAGATCAGTAAAAATCTGTAATTTAATTATTTTTCACATTTAAAACATTACTACACAACATAAAAAATTATAAATAGTTGCCTGACATTTACAGTAAAATGCTGGCGCTGACTTATAGTTTGCACGAGCTTTTTACATTTGTTGTTACGATTTTCCTTGAAAGTACTGTACTGCAAGCATACTTTTTCCCTCTCTCTTTTGTTAATTTCCACAACTTCGATACATAGTTTAATAATTAGTTTAATAGAAATGACATTGGGTAACAAATATCACTGATTTTGGCAAATTTAGGGCTTAAAAACTGGCAACATTGATCATACCTGTAATAGGTACACTGTAGTTATAGTTTTGAAAATCAACTAGGTAATCCAATAGTTTAACCAATGTTAACTTGCTTATAATTAAAATTTAAAAAGTTGGTAAATTAAAAAAAAAATTAATTAAATTACTAAACAATTAAAATAAATTTTATTATCTTTTGTGTGAAACAACACCAGAAGAATTTTTATAGTTATGTTGCAAAAGAAAGAGATTTGTAGTTGATTCTATGTGCTGAACTTCTATATTTTATTAACGTATAATTGTATTTTCGTTTGATATTTATTTCTGTATTTATTTTATTTTATTTAAATTCTGTAAGTTTTAAGAATCCCAATTTTCGTAATGCTATGACATCATAGGAATAGAAGTGTGAGGTTTTGGAATTGACTCGGAACTCACTAAAATAGAAAAGCTTTAACTATATTGTAAGCATATTTGTACAATAAACGGGTTAAACAGTAAAGCAGTGTCTTCACCTGTCTGTACCACGTTTCCCATATACTTTTTAGTCCCTTGACTTTCCTGACGTTGGGTGAATTAAGTTTATTTCCTTTATTTTCCCAAAGAGAAAGAGTCATCATATTTCACATAAGCGAAACTTGAAGTTTCAAATCTTATGTTCTAATTGACATTTGAAATTATGTTAAACCTGAGGAAGGATATTTGAGATGGCTGAAAACATTAGTCTGTTTAATTAAAATTTGCTATAAAAGTGAGAAAGATGATTTGTGATATGATTAACCCTTAATTACAATTCTTATAATTATTGCAAAAATAAATAAATTTTGTCTGCATTCTTAAGAAAATATTATGCAAAGACGAAATTTAATGTAAAATTAAATAAATAATAAATAAAAATTATAAAAAATAATTGTTAAAACTGATATTTACACTGAAACTGAAATCAAAATGGCAGCAATGGGACATTTTTTTTCTTTTAATGAGTTGCCAATTCAGCTAATTTTTTTGCTAAATTTAGTGGATTTATGAACAATCTAGCTAAAAAAAAATCAAACAATTCTAATGGAAACAATATGATTTGGGTATTTTTATTAAGATGTGTAGCTGTAAATTTTGAGTTGGCAACACTACTTTTAATTAATATATATGGAGATGCAGATTGGATGTCATTTGAATATTTTACAAGTGTGACAAAACAAGTCTTACAGATTGCTATCTGGTCTTGTTCATCTGTCTTTTAATATTATTATTCAAGGTTTGTGTTTTTCTACATTCTTAAATTATAATGGCACGGAAACAAATGAGGTTTAATCTCCAATGGCTGGATCCAGTTATTCATCCAGAATTCAGTTTCTGGTTAGGAACTGTAAAAGATGATGATACAAAAGCATTTTGCTGCATTTGTTGTAAAGTTTTCTCATTAAGTAATATGGGAAAGCATGCATTAGTATCACATGCAAATAGTTCTAATCATGTTAGATTGAAGTCTGAACAAACTTCACTGATAAGGTTTTTAATCCCAAAAAATTCAAACTCTTCTAATAGTCAACAAAATGTATGTGAAATGGCTTCTGTTGTGAAGATAGATCTAAGTTCACTAATGAACAGTTTCTCACCAAATCAACATTTCTTAGCAGCACATTGACACCTTTTGTGATAAAAGATGATGTAATAAAAGCAGAGATAACTTGGGCATTGGCAGTTGTAAACAAAAAGATGTCACTCAATTCATGCTCTGATATTAAAAACATTTTCAAAAAAATGTTCCCTGACAGTGCTATAGCCACTCAATTTCAATTGTGTCCAGATAAAGCTTCCTATATAATAAATTATGGCCTAGCTCTTTATTTCAGAGAAAAATTGATTGATGCTGTTACAAGTTGCAATAATATTATTATCTCCTTTGACAAATCACTAAACAAAGTTGCTCAAAGAACTCAAATGGATCTTGTGATAAAATACTGGGACAAGAGTAAAGATAAGGTTATGACCAGATATTTAAATAGTGTCTTTCTGTATCATAGTACAGCAGATGATATTCTCTCTGCATTTCTCAATAGCCTTTCAGACATTCATCTTGATCTAGCAAAAATTCTTCATATCTGTATGAACGGACCAAATGTAAACCCAAACATAAGTTTTCTGAATAAATTAGAAAATCACATGAAAGACACAGATCATTTTTGAGAATGGGAGCATGTGTTTACGTGTAGTCTATGGTGCTGTAAAAACTGATTTTAAAGTAGTAGATTGGAATTTGTTACCACTACTATGGAATTTGTACTACAGGTATTTGCTAAAAGACTCACCCACTTGGCATGCTGAATACATTGCTATAAGTGGAAGCAGATTATTTCCCAAAAAGTTTGGTTCAGCAAGGGGGTTGGAGAATGGAGAGTGCTTAGAACGTGCAGCAGAAGTTGTTGAATCTGTGAAGACATACATAAATAACAGTACAAATCTAAACCACAACTATACCCAGCAGAAAACAATTAAATATGTAATCAACACCTTATCTTTCGCTGAGAGATTATTTTTAATTAAAACAAACGTTTTCGATCCATTTATTGGATCATCTTCAGGTTAAATAGAACACTTCATAAATAGAACGACTCGTTTAAATATTCAAAAATACAAATAAACCAATAACATAAAAATAAATAATACTTGTAAATAATACAAATATTCAAAATAAATAACATAATACCATTACTAAATATTAATATCGTCTGCCTAACTATATAGAGCTTACTATGTTTCATACTAAATTTCATGCGCTTTTTTTAAGCTTTTAACCGCAAACTTCCAAGCAGAAGGAAGACCTTCCGCATCCCTTGCGTTAATACATTTTTCTTCAAGTTTGCTTCTATAGATTTCTATCTTTTCAGCTGTTCTT